AATCTGACGATTTGCGGCACTGTCGTGACTCTTTGGTCATAGTTACAGGAAGCGGAATTTCTTTTTTTTTTTCTAGGAACAGGCCAAAATCAATGCGCGCGCGGACGTCATCCATAAAATTTACTTGGTGTGGCCTGATAGTGAAATGCATGAAAATACATGATGTGAATATAGTAAAACGTTAAACTTTATTCCAACACACTATTTACAGGGATCAAATTTTCAGCGACTACTGTCGCCTTCATCAGGATAATTAATGACCAATCACTTCACAACGTGATCTCGCGAGAGTTACGGTTTACAAACACGTGACTTCACTCACACGAGACTTTACTGATACGTGACGTAAGCAATTGATCAAAAGTGCCAGGGAGTTTATATCGTCCACCATCTCTATTAAGTGAAGGCTGAAGTGCTCTGATATATATAGCCTCCTTAATGCCTCTTAGCAAGTAGTCCTGTTCAGTGTCCAGTATTCTAACTTTGTCCAGAGAGACTGTGTGGCCCGGTGATTCGATGTGGATGTGTTGAGAAACTTCAGATGACAGTGAGCTGGGGCGTTTGTGTTCAAGAAATCTGGTCCTTAGTGAACATTCTGATTCGCCAATGTACGATTCTTCGCAGGTCCCCTGCCTCGTGGTTCCCTGACATGGAATACAGTACACTACGCCACACTTCTCTTCTTTGGGTGTTTTGTCCTTCGGTGCTACGAGAAGCTGTTTCAGTGTGTTGGTGGGTTTTAAGGAGGTGGAGATACCGTGTGAAGCGAAGATTCTGCGCACTGTGTTTGTAAACCGTAACTCTCGCGAGATCACGTTGTGAAGTGATTGGTCATTAGTTATCCTGATGAAGGCGACAGTAGTCGCTGAAAATTTGATCCCTGTAAATAGTGTGTTGGAATAAAGTTTAACGTTTTACTATAAAATGCATAATTTGTTTACCTTCGCATATGGTCTGCTCTGTTAATTCTTACTTAAACACATTCATATATATGGTCAGACAGGAGTCTAAATCCCTCCTGCTGTAAAATTGCAACATGATGTAACCCAACACCAGTTATCATGGTGACAGGTGTCTGGTTCAGGTCATTGACCTTATTTGTTTGAAGAAGAAGAAGAAACAGAGCAAAAACAATGTTTTCCTTCTGCAAAGGTAAACATAATCGGAATGAACTTTATTTCTCGACAGTTGTTCAATGTACAATGCAGTGTAATTGCCTGAGTGTCAGCCTTTTTAGCTTTCATCCGCCCCCAAAAGTTGGTCAAAGAGAGTTGGTCCACTAAAGAGTACACTTTGCCGCAAACTGTACTTTCTAGTGAAACAACTCCCTGGGCATGTTATCTCCCTATTTGGCCAATTTCTACTCTTTCCAGCCTCCTCTCAAAGCCTGGTACAGGCTTTATAAAATAAATTATTTTGTTATACCCACCCTAAAATTTTTCTCCACCATCTCAATTTTGTTGATGTAACCTTAAACATCATAATTATATCATTTTAGAAACAATTCTGAGAAATCTGAGGGGCAAAGTTTGCACTTAGCTTCTTCCATACCTATCCAGATTAATATGTAACTTGTAAGGACTTCAGTAGGTACCGGTAATGCATTGAACTAAATTATAGCCTTTAGACAACTTGCATTATAATCAGCTTGGAAAATTTTCTCATCTAGACCACAATGCACTCCTGAGCTAGAACCGGTTGTGCCCAACTGAGCTGCGGTAATAAATTATCAACAAACCTTGAGGGTGGGGGAGGGGCAAAGAGGCCAAAGAGGGTAGAGTCAGCTCAAATTTCAAAACAGCAAAGGCCAGGCAAGGATTAATAAAGCTACAAGTATCTTACCAATACCTTCTACTTTGCGACTTTTCATGTATTCTACGGTTTAAATTGTACTCAAAGTATGTAAGTTTGCTGAGGCTTTCTATAGTTCTTTTGTATCGTTAAATCATAAATCAATACTTCGTCAGAGGTAATAGGGCTATAATGTGACAGGTAGCTACGTATTTGCATATCAAACTAGGTCGTTTTCTCTAGTAAATGAAAGTCTGTATCCTTTAAAAGAGATTGTGCGATATTTCATAAACTGTGTGACGTGGCTATGTATATGAAACTGTAGAGTAGGAGGTTCCAAAGTTCGGGGTCAACTGCGGTCAAACTGTGAACTTTCCAAGACACCCTAGCCTAAACAAACAAACCAAACATCCGCCCCGTAGCCTCTCCGTGCGTACGTACCTGCAAAAACTCGGGGTGAAGATGCCCCAACAGCGGCAAGGCACTCGCAGCAAGGACCCTCGGAGACGCATTGGACGGGCCGGGGCCTAGCAGGGTTTTCTGCGGGACCCTCAGCGGAGTCAGAAGCTCCTGGGGCGGAGGGAAACTTTCCACCGAACTCTCCTTGTCGGCCATCTTGGGGGCGGACTGACCTACTGAGCTCATGGGGGAGGACATGTGATACAGTCGGAGGACAAAAGAAGTTGTTGGGGTAAAAACTCTGCGCCAGCGTGTAAGAAAAAGCATGGTTGGTTTGGAATGAAACAAGTGGTTTTCTTTTTTGTGCAGGGAGGCGATAGGACTCTTTGTACACATGCGTAATTTTATGCGTCAGCAGAGACATCTAGCAGATAGGACAAAAAGTGCATCTAGTATCAAAATTTACCTGAATTGCAGACAACAATCTCAGTGCTATAAGGAGCCAGTTTGTAAGGCGTGTAGCACTTAGGAAAGACATATAAAACTTATCATAATTGTCAGAAGCTATGGAGAGGTCTCGACAATAGTTTTGAGACTCTTGAGGCATTCTGCAGAGATTTCGAATAGGATCGCGTGATCTTTCATCGCTGGGTCGGGGTGGGTATTTTCACATTTTCTGGGTTTAACCCCCGAAGTGATATCAATATGACTCAAAGATCTTTGGTTTATCGGTACTACATCTATAGCTTGTATGGAGGGTTGGTACTTCTTCCCATGGGTTGAACTGTTGGCTCTTACCCACCAGTTCTGCCTAGTGGTGTCTGTCCTTGGTACTGCACAGCTTTCACACTGCTAACGTTATATGTACTCGTGAGGCAATAGAAGACTCAGAGATAACGTTAGGCCTTTCAATTTTAAAGGCCTGTTTAATTAAAATTTAAAAAAAAACGTCTGGGGGTATTTGCCCACTGTACCATCATGCCAAATTGCAGGTTATTTGGCTGAAAAACGGCTGAGTTGAATCCCTTCATTCATCTTGTTTTGTTGTGACCTGTACTTAGCCAAGTGTGGCAGAAATGTGCAATAAAGTTCTTCTATCTTATATTTATAATAATTCTACCATCCCACCAAAAACAGGGCCACAAAGTGACTACAGTCTGTAAGGCCAAGATGCTCGCCAAGCGAGTCCGCTTCTCCCTCCCAGACGAGCCGGGCAGTGATGGTCACTAAAAGAGAGACGGTCCGGTAGATCATGATGGCGCCTTAGTGTCGGACCAGAGAAGACCAAGGGACCCAACAACGTTTCTTCCAGGAAATGTTGATATTTCGCCAGTATTTGATAACTACTGACTGTTGTGATTCAGAGAACTGCGCAAAAACGTTTTTGTTCTTCTTTGATACCTTATACAAAAAAAAAGAAAAAAAATGTTTACGTTTAAAACGTTTTACCAGAATTGTGTTTAAAAGTATACAGAGTTATATGCTGTTGAATTCTTTGTCCCGATCGCACCATATATAAAGTATCAAAATACCCATAGCTAGATACCGGAGGATACAAAATATTTGCAATGTGCATGATATGGTACAGCTCATCAAATGCTGGCGTTGAATTTTGTTCGAAAATTCATGGGTTTGGATCATAGTTAACCAGAGCAGTAGAGTTTGACAGCTAAATGTTTGAATAACCTACAGGAAAATAAGAGTTTTGGACAGAAGTTTGATTTCTTAACAATGACCAGTTGGTACATTGTATTACTTTATACGTTACCATTATACCGCCAGTTGCTGCAGAATAAACAAGTTAATATTCCCTGTACTCCAATTCTTTCATTTTTCATATCTACCTTCGTTCACGATGTTGCAATATTCATAACCATTTTCTGCTTTTAACACCTGTGTACTTAGCCTAGGTGTCATCTTGGTTGTTTGATTGTCTGCATTACCACGAAAGAATACACATGTGATTGGTTCCCTCCATGGAATGGCTATTCATGTTATTGATAGGATAATCCTGTCAAATTATATCCGAAAATCTTGAACTATTGATAGATTTTTGATTTGATTTGATTTATTAGGCTGATAACACATATGTATGCAGCCAGGACTGCCCAACTAGCCGGAGGCTATTATAAAGGGCTAGCCCTCACAACAAGAACATAAACAATTCGGAATAGTTAACAGTTAACAGTGTCAGTTACAATTCAGATAGACATACTACCGGTACTACTACATAACAGATGTTGTGGCCAAACGTTAACAAGCTGAATATCCGGCCTGGTCGTCGTACGTTTACTACAATTACATTTATATGTCAGGTTAATATACTATTACATAACAGATGTTGTGCACCATATTTTGTTGATCATCCTGTCAACAGTGCGTTTTAATACTTCAACAGACACAACTTGACAAACATATCCATGGCCACACACTCACTGAAATAGTAATTTGCTGGAGACAAACTTGGTACAAGTCCCGGCACCGCGTCAAGGTGTTGCCTCCATTGCCGAGGTAAATTGAGACGCCACCCTGACAACAGCCACTCACAGTTTTGGCAAACTTGTGACAACAAAGCAACCAACAAAGCAACCGTGCTGTGTGAGTCGTGGAGCTTCGGTAGCCTGGGTGCCCGGCTCCGTATTGTTGCTAACTACCCAGGCCTAGAGCCAGGCCAGAGCCTAGGTGGACGTTATCGTTATTTTTTTTGAGAACGAAAATCAATGCGCGCGTCAATGTCATCTATAAAATTGAGTCGGTGTGGCCTAAAGGGACCAAGGGGGCCGGAACGATCATCTATTACAGCCATTACAAAAACATTGGAAACGATTGTGTAAAGCGTAAACCATTGTTGTTTTTGCATTAACGGTTCTTACATGTATTATTATACATTTGCAAAGGAAGAGGAATGCATGAATATGCAAATGCAGCAAAAGGTTACTCGTTTATATATGTGCAATGTAAAACACTTTCTTCTACTAGAAAAACGAAAAGTCTAAAACTAGGACATATTTCTTTCTAGCCATTGGTTTTGTTATAAACTTATCAGCATAAAGAGTATAAAAAGGCCAGATAAAAGCATATACACTGGAAACGCAGTGGAACTCCATGTTGTCTCGTTGACTGTAGTTCAGCAACAACCGCCATCTCCCTAAACCTGACCCTAGAATAAGACAGTAATGGTAAAAGCATTAATATATATTTCTAAGCAAAGGAAACAAATAAAAAAAGAAATCAGAAATATGGCCTTGTGTCTTTAAAAGTGTATGTAGGGTTAGTTGCCCACCGGCATGTAGGGTTGGTTGCCCACCGGCATGTAGGGTTGGTTGCCCACCGGCATGTAGGGTTGGTTGCCCACCGGCATGTAGGGTTGGTTGCCCACCGGCATGTAGGGTTGGTTGCCCACCGGCATGTAGGGTTGGTTGCCCGCCAGGTTGCCCATTGCCACCTGCTGCTGCCCCTGTCCCATTGCTGCGTCACGGAGGTTCTGGTAGTGAGACATCACCACAAGGGTACCGTACACCTGGGAAACAGATGCAGCAATAACCAATGAGAGAAAGACAATTAGCGGTTCGACCAATGAGAGAATAACTGCATCCCAGTCACATATATCTGCATCTTATCTTATCTTATCTTATCTTATCTTATTAAGATTTACCACATTTTTGGAAGGATTGACATAACAGGTACTAGGTGACTATCACCTCTTCAAGATGTCAAACCTGAGACCAGACTGTAAAGTTTGAACCACTCACACCGGGAAGGTCCCCTACTCTTTTCAAAAAGTGCGGTGGGTTGTGGCTCTCCCAAAACATCCTAGGACACATGTAGGAGGGACGTCCCAACCAAAGCTAGGTACTCATTTACATATAAGTGAAGTGAGGAAAGTCGTGTAAAGTGCCTTTCTCAGGGGCACAAGATCGGTGACACCGGGCAGGTTTCGTGTAAGTATTTTAAGGTATTATAACTTTTGACCCTTTTCTCTGGCATAATTTCGGTATTTGTAATATTTATTTATTGGTTCAGCTGTACAGATGACAGCCAAGGTTGCCCAACTAGTGCCAGGACTATTTTAAAGGGCTAACCTTGGGGACAGAGACAACAACATACATACATACATGTCAGATGAAAATGGGGCATTTAAAATCAAAATTATCAGATATAGAATTTACATAGTTATAACAGGACTTAGCTAAGGTGCACTAAGAGGAGTAATATTTACATTGGGAGGTCAGGGTCAGCGTTCATACTGTATGGGTCTCCGAGCGAGATCTGGAGATTGGTTTTGAAAGATGTAATGGTGGGGGCTGTGCGAACATTGGAAGGTAGCGTGTTCCAAAGCAAAATGGCTCTATGGAAGAAGGTTTTTTGGCCCCTAGTACTTTTGGATAATTGTGCTGTCAAGTGATTGCTGTTTCTCAAGGAGTAACGAGACTCAATGGCTGACGCCCGGGTTCTGGGAAGCAGGCTTAACATATGTGGTGGGCAGTTTCCGTTCAGTAGTTTGTAGAGGGTGGTAACAGTATGCAGTTTACGCCGGTGATGGAGTGAAGGTAAGGACAGCTGAGAGTACAGGCTTTGGTACGAAGGATACGGGAGTCCGAAGTTACCGCTAATCAACCTAGCGGTTTTTGTAATAACAAGGGAAAGCCTGTAAAAGCTGGATTTGTCTTACGGTAAGCATGAAGATAATGCCGAAGATAGTCCAAACGATAGCGATGCCTGCAACGTATCCTGCTTTGAAGGCGTCTTGGTTTAATCCAGATCCGATACTGCTAGCCTGGAGAAACAAACAAACCGTGGTATGGGTATGATAACAAAACCTTTATTACAAATCCTTGAAAAAATTTGCAAAAGTGTTTTGCAAAATTGCATCATCTTTGCATTGTCTTAAGTCACCGGTTTAAGTCTGCTTAACTCGCCCGTTTCAATCCTACACACGCCCCTTCTATGCATGGTTAGAGCTTCCACATCCTCCTAGGTGGCTTCTGTGACAGATGTTGACGACTTACACAAAGACATTACAAAAACGGCAATTTTATCCAAATTACGTCAAATACGGGTGGTATCACAACTGTAACATACAATACCCGCTTAACCAGTCCCTTCATGAAAGTACTGCAGTATGACACAGACGGTTAAACCTTTAATAGTGTACGAAAGCTGTTGATAAACGATACCACACCAGATATAGCAAGGGTTTGAATGATCTTATTTCAATAAAGATACAATGAAAAAAAAATTGACTAACAAGAGTTCCGAGATCTCATACCCCCATTAAATATGGGCTTGATATGTAAATTTCTTCTTTAATTATGCAAATAACCTCTGCATTAACATAATATATGCATTTTGATGTTAACTTTTGATTAACTTACAGATGTCCCAAGTATGACATTCCCACCATTCACCATTAAGAAATCATAGAATTTTCGTATTGATTATGCAAATTAGGTCATAATTGCATAATTGGTATCTGTTGATGTTCCATCTGCCATAGGTTACATTACATGTATGAAAGTACTATAATTTAAAACACTGTAATTACAGAATTTCCTCATTAATTATGCAAATAGAGTCCTCATTTGCGTAATTTGCATTTAATTATGTACATCTCTCTCTCAGCTACCTACACACCAAAAATGATGAAAATACGTTGTACCTATCTGGACTTATTGGCTTTCAAAGATTTCGCCCGAAAGTCCCCTGCAGTTCCAGACCAAGCTGATAGGGGGACCAAACCCACACCACTTATTCCTGACAGGAAAAGCTATCGGTCACCAAAAATTCAAGATCATAGTATGTTCAGGACAAAAGATACTAAAACCGGAAGTTCTGCTGCAGTACCAAGGTCATTCACCAGGAGGCCCATATTTGACCTTGACCTTTGTCTTCCAAAGACTTACCAGCATTTCAAATATCATCATAATCCATAAAGGCGTTATGAAGTTATGCTGACTCCAACTGTGCGGAAACACAAACACAAACACATTACACACACACACACACACACACACACACAGACAGACAGGACGCGCCAAAAACAATACTTCCCGCTCTATTCTCCACCAAAGACTGGATTTTACTTCTGATCTGAAGTTGTTACTCCTAGGACTTGTTTGACCTTTTGTGGGTCTCCAAAGGACAGATAATTTCTTTTCCCTGTGTGATCTGTTTGAATAAACCCACACCCATCAGCCTAAATGTTCTCTGGAGGGAATGTCAGATTACTGATCAAGTGGTCTGACCAAAGACAGCTGTGCTCTCTGTCCATGGTCCATGGTGTGGGGAGAAGACAGATGACCAGTAATTAATCATGCCAGGCAGCTGGATGGGTAGCACGTGGGCACCCGGTGTAAGGCCGTGTTTATGGCCGTGTCTATGTGGAATCACCCAAACCGCGATTCGGGTAACTCACATTCCTCACATCTGGTTCACGTGCCACACACACCTGTGAAACCGTGTCCGAACACAATACGCTTGAGCAACATTTATTGCTGTTTGATGAAAACACGCAAGGTAGCGTGTTATTAATGTCAACGACCTGCTTGCTGGTGCCCCCCTCCCAGCGTATCTCGGCCGAAAGCCGACGTGGTCCCACCAGAGGCGGTGAAGCTCGCCCTAGAACGGACACATTTTTTTACTATTACTGCTCTTTAAGTTGCTGCCACGTTAAAGTTGGTATTGCATATAAATAAAGAAATATCATCCCGTAATCCATGACCAGGTGAAGTCACATTGAAATCACATTGTGTTCAGACGCAAATCGCGATGCGGGGAAACCGATTCGAAACCACCTCTAGAAGTGGCTTGGGATCGAGGCGCTTTCAATGTGATTTCGGAGCGTTCACATGGAGCCATTTGAAACCGGCTTCGGGGTAAACCACATGTAAACCGCCTTGGGTGATTTCACTTAAACACGGCCAAATTAATCATGCCAGGCAGCTGGATGGGTAGTACGTGGGCACCCGGTGTAAGTTGCCTGCTTGGTAAAAAAAAACACATGGCCGAAGGTTACCTCAAAACCAATTCCCCAGGGAATGCATTGGTGCAATTTTTTTAAATTCTTTCAAAGCGATCGTAGTACTTGCACAAATGCAAAAGGCGTCGCCAAAAATCTACCAAGACACCGTAGGTTGTAACTACAAACACATTCACACATGCAGCCGGAAACAATTATACCTTATCGGGGGAAGGATATTTCTTTCCTTGGCCTAAAAGAACAATAAAAATGGCGTACAATGACCGACATGAGGGCTACAGCTTGAACTGTCGTAAAGCTGTAGATGCCCAGGACCGCTAAAGTACAGATCCAAGTGACTACTCCCCAGGCTGAAATCATCGGGCGTGGTTTCTGTGAGAGAAAATTGGTATGGATGTTATATATGTTCTCATGTTTCCTGCTATTGGAGGGAAATTTTCCAACCAATTGCGTCGTCTCCTTCAGTGAAGTTGAAATTTGATTGGCTGGTAACTTTCTGGCTATTGCATAAATATTTTCCAGCCAATCACGTCACCTCCTACAGTCAAGACGTAACGTGATTGGCTGTATATTTCCTATCCTTAGACGGAAGTCCTTAGTCCGGCTGATAAAGTCATCATTGCCGCTTGCGGTCTAGAGGCAACGTGATTGGCTGGTAGTTTCCAAAAAAAGGGTATCTGATTGACTAACAGAACAAGCGATGGCGCGTTAAAGCTCACAAGCCGTCACGCAAAATGCCGTTGTTAGATTAATACATACTAGCTTTAAATGATATTATCGTTAAGGCTTCTTAACGTACTAGAGCGTGTACATCCTGCTAAGGATAGATTTGGAAATACCTTTGCCTTTGCTATTGTTATGATGAGAAGGGTATGGTTGCTGACGCTCAAGCTGTAGACGCTCAGGAGAATAACGTTGGTCGGCGCTACAAAAATTAATAATCAACAACAGTCAGTTGTATCATACATCCATGAAAAATATTCAGGCCTTGTGTCACAGCGGTTTGTTTTAATGTTTTTTATTCGTCTCATTGATTAAATGGACGACTGCTGATACAATGTACCCCGTTTGCTATCTGTAATCCACTTTATTTTCGTGCATGATGAACAGCGAAAAAAGAACTGTGACAGCAGCAAGAGCTACCAGATGTAGAAGTAATTAATGACTTCCTCAATCTGTTACAAACTTGACCCAACCATAAACTCTTATGCCTGGCATAACCTCTATGGCACAAGATCGGTGGCATGTCAGGACTCCATCCCGGGACCTCTTGATCCCGAGTCGAACACTCTGCAGCTACGCCACAGCTACGTAAACGTGTTGGGATGCTTGCAGCGAGCTGCCGGATTGGTTACGCTCAAGGTCCGCCTTGATCACGCCAGCCCGCCTGGCGCTGATCTCGTTCGCCAGCTGAAGACAACTGGCATTGGAGACCATTCCCTCTAATTGAGGGGTTATGTGTAAATTGCCTTTCCCAAGGGCACAACGTCGGTGCGCATATTCGGACATGCCCTTTGCTCGTACCCGGGATCGAACCGGGGCCTCCTAATGTCTGAACGCCGACCGCTCTACCACTACGCCACACGATGCCACTAACCCCAACTATAACCTACATAACACTCACTATACCCCATAAGTGCAAACATTTTTGTCACTTACACACGACGCCAACAGCTGATGCTACGGTTGTGCCATATGCGGTATAACCGAGTCCAGCCAGGGAAATGACCTGTGGAAAAGGTATGACATTATGAACAGAATGTAAAGTTTAACCAGTATGTATCTATAGGACGGTTACAAAGTGACCGATACCATAGCTCCGCCCACCTCCTTCACAACATACAACTTCATGAAGGTTTAATGTCATTGGTTGAACCACTAATTGCAATGCTGCCATTGGCGAGGTGCAGTTTGCAATAAACAGGATGTGTGTGGAGGAGGGTGGAAACATACTTAAAGCTATAATATCCCTAGGATCTTTTGTTCCTCAAAGTTTTGGAAGTACCTTACTATACTTAAATAAAAAACAACTGCATTTTAAAATCTATAGACCATACCGTGAGCGATAATTTCTAACCGAGGACTAGAGATTTACCTTTGAATTCTAATGACAAGGGTCCTTAGGGGGTTTCAAAAATTTGTTAACCAGAAAGTTTGCGCTGATTTTAAGTCTAGAATTAATGTAAATTCAACGAAAACAACTGGTTCCAATCATTATAAATAGTTAATTCACTGGAGGAAAAATTCTCTGAGAATACTATTCTAACCATTAAGCAATACTTATGTCAAACACCTTGTAACTAGATGATTTTCTATGTGGCAGGAAACCCTGTTTTTTATTTTTATTTTGTGCAACCAGAGTTAAGAATAATTTTGTGTTAGACTTACGATCAAGATGGAAGCGATCACTTTTGATCCGGTCTTAACGTCAAGGCAACCGCAACAGCTCTGTAAGATGGCCATGCTGCCCAACGTCTCCTAGCGATTGTAAAACAAACTACAAAGGGACACGCCTGCCTGCCTGAAATGCAATAGAAACGTTCAAAATTTATGAAATTGTATGTTTTAATGTGTGCCCAGGGATACCTGAAAAGCAGATCAATGGATCTGAGGTATTCCCTGGTGAAATAAATAAACTTGAAACTTGATCAAACTATGTAAATTTGTCCCTTCATGTTTCAATAAGAGAGAAGAGATCCTGCAGACAGATCTTGTTGATATATCATGTAGATACAGACGTAGCACAGAAATGTATAACACCTGTTTCTTCTGTACTTGTACCCAAGTTATCTAACTTAGTGCATTTGGCTCATGTAGAGCGTGAATATGCAATAAAGTTCATTGTCATTATATTTCACATTATAGGATTAGAATGATATGTAAGTTTTCCTCGGAAAGTACGACACATAGCGCCTCTAAAGTTTCAAAATTTCCAAAATAACTTTCTTTTTCTTGACAATATGTAATTTATATTATATTTCTGCAAGGTTGGAACAAACGTATGTGAATTTGCCTTTACACGTACATACGGTAGCTCTTCAGGCCACACCAATTTAATTTGTTGGTTCTCGGATTTTTTCAGGAAAAATATGAAGCGACAGGGCGAAAAAAAATAAAAACTAGAATTCCGAGATCTCATACCTCCATGAAATATGATCTTGATATGTAAATGTAAATTTCTTCTTTAATTGTGCAAATGACCTCTGCATTAACATGATATATGCATCGTGATGTATGTTAAATTTTGATTAACTTACAGATGTCTCATCATTCACCATTACGAAACCATAGAATTTTCGCATTAATTATGCAAATTAGGTCATCATTTGCATAATTAGTATCTGTTGAAGTTCCGCCTGCCATAGGTTACATACATTACATGTATGTAAGTAGTATAATGTAAAACACTGTACTTATAGAATTTCCTCATTAATTATGCAAATAAAGTCCTCATTTGCATAATTTGCATTTAATTATGTACATCTCTCTCTCAGCTACCTACACACCAAAAATAATGAAAATATGTTGTTCCTGTCTGGACTTATTGGCTTTTAAACATTTCGCCAGAAAGTGCCCTGCAGTTCCAGAACAAGCCGCTAGGGGGCCCAAACTCATAAGACTTCTTCCCCAGCACGAGAGCTACCTTCCATCAAAATTTCATGACCCTAGCATGTCCAGATCGCGAGATATCGTAAAACACTGTAATTATAGAATTTCCTCATTAATTATGCAAATAAAGTCCTCATTTGCATAATTTGCATTTAATTATGTACATCTCTCTCTCAGCTACCTACACACCAAAAATAATGAAAATATGTTGTTCCTGTCTGGACTTATTGGCTTTTAAACATTTCGCCAGAAAGTGCCCTGCAGTTCCAGAACAAGCCGCTAGGGGGCCCAAACTCATAAGACTTCTTCCCAAGCACGAGAGCTACCTTCCATCAAAATTTCATGACCCTAGCATGTCCAGATCGCGAGATATCGTAAAACACTGTAATTATAGAATTTCCTCATTAATTATGCAAATAAAGTCCTCATTTGCATAATTTGCATTTAATTATGTACATCTCTCTTTCAGCTACCTACACACCAAAAATAATGAAAATATGTTGTTCCTGTCTGGACTTATTGGCTTTTAAACATTTCGCCAGAAAGTGCCCTGCAGTTCCAGAACAAGCCGCTAGGGGGCCCAAACTCATAAGACTTCTTCCCAAGCACGAGAGCTACCTTCCATCAAAATTTCATGACCCTAGCATGTCCAGATCGCGAGATATCAAAACCGGAAGTTGCGCTGCAGTACCAAGGGAAGCCACTAGGGGGACCAAAATCTCATCATTTCCAGTTTTCGTCACACCCTACCAACACACCAAGTATGAAATCAATCCATCCAGGCGTTCTTGAGTTATCTTGTTGACCAACAGAAGGACGGACAGACAGATAAACACAACTGAAAATATAACCTCCATGACACATTTCATGGAGGTAATAAAAACAGATCTAGGCATCCTATTATGGCCCCAAATGCTACGATAGGAGGTATGAAGTCAACACAAAAGGCTGGTTCAAAATTTAAACAATGAATTTTGAACTTCTAATGATACCACTGCATTGAAAGATGGAATAACCGTAACGACTAGGAAGAAAAGGACTGTTTTCAACTGTTCAGGGCAAAATATGAGCATTTTGCAGTTGATTCTGAAATTTTTTTTTTTTTGTCAAATCAGGAAAAAATGAAGAGGCGAATCCGAGAACCAACAAATTAAATTGGTGTGGCCT